AGCCCCATCACCATCTTGGCTTCTGCACTCGGCACCTTGGCCTTTGGGTCCAGGAATCCCCTTCAGGCCCTGTGAGCAAGCATGGCGCCTGGCACGCTCTAGCACTGAGACATGTTAGGGCGTTTCGGATGGTCGCCCTGTGACCATGTGTCAGTCCAGGCCACCGGTTGTGCCAAATTGCCCCTCTTGGGGCTGCGCACGAAATCTGACCTTCCACTCAGTTTGCTGTGAACCTAAAACCCCTGTAGAAAATAAATTCTATTTTTCTAAGAAATTACATAACAGCTAACATGTCCTGAGGACTTTCCCAGGTCCTCATATAAACCACTCTGTGTATATTATCTCATTCACCCCGACAATGACTGTAAGGTGGACCCACTATTAGTCCTGTTTTACAAATATGGAGACAGAGGCACAGAGAGATTCAGCAACTTCTTTAACTTCAAACAGGAAGTATTGGCTCCACCAGCTAGAAAAAGTGGACTATTTTTCAAAAAGGACCTCTGAGCCAGGTTGAGATGGCAGAAGATTCCAGAAGCATTGGCTGCTCTATGTGTGACACGTGGCTGAGGTGCTGTCTCCGTGGGATCTAGCTGAGGTTTATCACAGAAACTCAGAGTGCCTGCTACTTGACCTCAGTAAACAAACAGCGAGTCACGGGGGGAGCTGGGGGGGGGGGTGTGAACTCAGCAGGCCCCTCTCCACAAGCTTCCCCTGGCGGGCACCAGTTCAGCCGGAGCCGGAGCTAGAATGTCTATTCCCACCAGACCTGCCCTGCATTTTCCGTGTGTCTGTCTGCTTCTCCCTGTGGTTTAGGGCAGTGGTCGGCAAACTCATTAGTCAACAGAGCCAAATATCAACAGTACAACGATTGAAATTTCTTTTGAGAGCCACATTTTTTAAACTTAAACTATATAGGCAGGTACATTGTTATTAACTTAATTAGGGCACTCCTAAGGCTTAGGAAGAGCCGCACTCAAGGGGCCAAAGAGCCGCATGTGGCTCACAAGCAGCAGTTTGCCGACCGCGGGCTCAGGGTAAACAGCGTGGGGTGGCTCAGCTGCTGCGGTTGTTTCTGACGGGTGTGTTATCTGCTGTGCTTCGGCACTGGATTTTCTCCCGAGTTGTTCTGAGAAGTTCTTTTCCACTTTTTTTTAGCTCGTAGTTAAAACATTGTCCATAAAGTGCACCATCCTATTCACGCCTTTGATTTTAGTCAAACGTGGGCATGAAGCCCGGCACCGTGCCCAAGAAGGGCACCCCAGGAGCGCAGGGGGTCCGAGCCTCCCCGTGGCCCGCACACGCCCCAGAAGGAGGGCACTTGGAGACGTGTCTGGTCTGAGCCTCTCACTTCTCAGAGGAGACAGGACCGCTTGCAGTTCTGACTCGCTGGAGGCCCCACGGCCGGGACAGAGACAAGCGTAGAGCCCAGTGATGTAATGCGTCTAAGTCCTTTCCCTCAAATTATCCTCTGAATCTCCCACCTCCTAGCAGGATAATTTAAACCCAAGCCTGTACCTCACCTGGGCAGCTTACCTGGTGCAGTTCCTGCCTGCACGCGCCCCCCTCATCTCAGCTCCTGCTCCCCAGCTGTCTGGCTGCAGGTGGACAGTTCAGGTGTCTCGCCAACTGCTAGGTCAGCTCCCCGAGGGAGTCTGCGCTCACCGCAGACAAGCGAAACGGAGCAGTGGAAAGGGCCTGGCTGGCCAGGGCATTTGCTTCTGGTCCCCTTCCCACCTCACCCAGGGAGCGGGCGTTTATTCTACTCAGCGGGAAGGGCTCCTTTGCTGGGTGAGCGCAAAGAAGCTCTGCAACTGCCCATCATCAGCTGCCTTCCCCTCCCATCACGGGAGCCCGCGTGCGGGCATGTGTGTGTGTGTGTGTGTGTGTGTGTGTGTGTGTGTGTATGCATCCCATTGATGGACAAGCTCCTCTTCCTGTGAGAAACAGGCCCAGGAAGGCGCTGGCCAGCTTGGGGCGGGGGCTGAGGCTGCTGCTCCCGCCAGCCACAGAAGGACCAGGGAGAGGCCTCTTGGAACTGAAGTATCAGCTGAGAGGCAGCGACGAGGTTGCTGGTGGGGAGGCTGATGGGGGTCCCTGCTTCCCAGGAATGGTTTGGTCTTAGCTGAATGTGAAGGGATTTTCCGCTCCCCCGTGGAAGTGGCTGGAAGAGGCTGCTCACCCACTAAGGGACGTGATCTGGGTTGGTTCTCCTCTCCCCCAGCCCCGCCCCAACGCCTCATGGGTAGGCGTCCCCACCAGCCATCGCTCAATTTGAGTCTCTGTGGTAAAAATACAAAGTCTTGAAAGACCCCTCCTACCCACTTACGTCCCTGTACCTTTGTCACCAAAGGTTTGCCGACTGGCTCCACCTTCTGTCACGGTACCCTCACGTCCTGCCTCCTGCCACCCCGGAAACCCTTCACTCCTTTTGTCCCTCCATGGTTCAGCTCCCGGAGATGCTCACCCTCGCATGACAGTGTAGGAAGCCTCGTGGCCCATTAAATAAGGACCACCGCTCATGACTCATTTACTCTGACTTACCTTTAAATACTATTTTCTTTAAAAAGGCTGGGTCGGGAGCGGAGAGAGATTCTAAATTCCACCCAAGAGTAGAGAATTACCACTACATGTGTGACTGTGGCACTGGGGAAGCACAGTGGACAGGGGGCTTAGTTTTATATAGAGTGCGTATCCTGTGTGTTATATAGTTGATGGAGTATACATATGTGTATAGTGTGTACGTGTGTGTATCCTGTGTGTTATATGGTTTATGGAATGTACATATGTGTACAGTGTGTGCACACGTGCGTATTCTGTGTGTTATACAGTTGATGGAGTGTATATATGTGTATAGTGTGTGCACACGTGCACATCCTGTGTGTTATATAGTTGATGGAGTGCATATATGTGTATAGTGTGCGCACACCTGCGTATCCTGTGTGCATATATGTGTATAGTGTGTGTATGTGTGTGTATTCTATGTGTTACACAGTTTATACAGTATGTGCATGTGTGTACAGTGTGTGTCATATGGCTTATAAAGTGTGTGTATGTGTGTGAATCCTGTGTATACACATGTTATATAGCTTACACAGCGTGTATATGTCATATAGTTTATATGGTGTGTGTGTGTGTGTGTGTGTGTGGTGGGGCTGGGGCGTGGGTAATGCTGTGAGGGGTATGAGGCTGGGTCACAGCGCCTGGGAAGTGGATTTCTGTAACTGAGAGAAGACTCTCTGCTGGAACCTGAGGCTTAGTCTGCCAGAAAGTTGCAATGTCCTAAGACCTGGAAAGATACAGTGTTGAATGGAATACGCTCTGGGGTACCAGTCGCGTGGAGCAGACGGAGTTTCTGTGGATAAATGAGCCGAGCCTGACGAGAGGACCGCCGTGAGGAAGTCTGCACAACAGGAAGGTGAACTGGCTTACGAACAGAAAAAAGGCTCAGACGCCCTGAGGGGCAGCCTGCCCAGGCAGTGGTAAAATGTCTGACCTCCTGTTTCCCTTAAGGCCGGTTGTAGGTGGTATGCTCATCCTCCAAACATATAACGTGGTCAAACACAGGGCTCCACAGTTCAGTGAGGGAATGTCCTTGCAGTGATGAAGGTCAGTGATGGGTGAGGGCATTGCGGTCGTGACCGTTCACTGTCTTTTAAAATAATATCTCCTTGTAGAGATTCCTCCGGATTGCCAATGGGAAGTCTGCAGAAGCCAACCTGCTCCTGTGACTGATGCCAGCAAACCCTGCTGCTGGGACTCACCGATTGGCTGGGGGGTGACAGGACCAGCCTTGAGGAAGGCTCAGGAAAACCCGGCTTTCTCCACACAAATCCGATTGGCTTAGGAGACGGTCATGTGACATGGTGACCAAGGCTGCAAACTGAATATCTAGAGAAGGTCTCTGGGGAGCCTTGCCTTTCGAAGGCCCTGGGATCTTGACATGGAATTTCCATTGCCCTTTAGCATGGGCCTGTGTGGGGGAAATGCCGCATCCTCGTCTGACTGCTTCCTTCTCTGACTTGAAAACCTGAGCCTTTGTCCCAAAGTTAATTGTACTTTAACTAAATATTTGATAAATAATGTTTTCTTTAGCATGCTTCATTTATTGTCTGAAATTTAACATATTTAAAAATCAATTAAATGTGTGTTTGCTGTCTAAGCATATGATTAAATATTTGGAAATATCTATAACTCGTAAAAAATAATTAACATGGCCCTGGCTGTTGTGCCTCAGTTGGTTGGGCATCTTCATCCCATGCACCAAAAGGTGGCCGGTTTGATTCCCGGTCAGGGCACATGCCTGAGTTTCCGACTCGATCCCTGGTAGAAGCCATGCAGGGGGCAGCGATCCAAAGATGTTTCAGTGTTTCTCTCTCTCCCTTCCTCTCTCTGTAAAAATCAATAAAAATATTTTTTAAAATAACCAATATAATTGCCTTCATAAATTTCCTGCTACATTTTCCTTGAAGGGCACTTAAAATGGTATGCAATGATTTAATTCCATAAGGGGATAAATATAGAATACATTTTAATACAATAAATCTCTGAGATTCATAATAATGTATTTTAAATTTATCTTTATTGTTGAAAGTATTACAGATGTTTTCTTTTTCCCCATTTTTAAATAAAAGCAACTTTCCAAATCCAATTTACAGGAATTTCATGCTAGTATGATGAGATCATAATTACATGGATAGTCTAGTCCTTTTTCCTTCTCACTAAAAGAATGTTTGCCTTAACATTGTAATTAAAACTCCTAGGAAGCAAATATCATATAATTATAGAAAATTATTGCCACAGAAAGAATGACTAACAAAAAAATTGAATGACTCAAAGGATTTTATGTAAATTGTATTTGCAATGGACTGAAAATATTTGTGTCCCCCTAAAATTCATATGTTGAAATCCTAAGTCACAATGTCATGGTGTTTGGAATTGAGGCCTTTGAGAGGTGATTAGGTCATGAGGGTGGAGCCCTGGTGAGTGAGATTGGTGCCCTCACAGAAGGGACGGCAGGGAGCTGCCTCTTCGTCCAGTGGGTGAGGACACAGGAGAAGAGGCTCTCAGCAGACACTGAAACTGCCGCACTTTGCCTTGGGCTTCCAGCCTCCAGAAGGGTGAGAAATAAATTTCTGTTGTTTATAAGCCACCTGGTTTATCGAGTTCTGTTTCAGCCTGATGGTCTAAAACGGTATTTTAATTTCACATTTCTTCATACTATCATGCAAACAGATGTGGACGGTTGGGTTGTGGCCAGCTGGGAGTCGGAAGACCTGGTTTCCAGACCCTTTTCCGTACTTTGGGCAAGAACTCTACTCCTTGGGACTCTTGGTTTTTTAATCTGTAAAATGGTCCCTGAGGGTCTTCTTTCCCAGTGGTAAAATTCAACTCTACTTTAAAAGAAACAAAATCTGAAATTAGGCAATAAATAGGGTGAAGCTATATGAGACCGATCTCTTACTGGAAATAAGTTCTAAGACATTCATTTCTATCTATGTTGATCTTGTTAGATGTTAACTTTCCTCACCTATGCTGAAAGTTGGAGGCCAGGAATTAATTCGAGGAGGCATAAGTTCTACAGAGAAAGTTAACGGGATCAGCCATGCACCCTAGATGTCGGGAGTAGGGGCACCACACCCCATATTTTGGGGATAGGATATGTTTTCATTGTAGAATTCACTGCAGCCTTTTAGTTAGAAAGGCTGTAGCTTTTTCTTTATTGTTTCAAGAGTCTGTTTTCTCATTAACCACTGTCTTCAACAATGAACTTCTCTCTTTAAAAAAATGTAAGTTTAAAAGAATTATATACTATGAGCAAGTGAGATTTATTCCTAGAATGTAAATCTAGTTTAACATATAAAAATCAATCCATGTAATACACCCTAATAACAGAGTGACAGGAAAAACCCACATGATCATTTCAGTTGGTACAGAAGAAGCAACTGATAAAATTTAACCTACTTTCATGATAAAACAAACACACTCCACACAAGTAACCTATATGTTCATGTAGACTAATGTTACTTCAATAAAATTTAAAAAAGCACACACACACTCAACAAAATGGGAATAGAAGAAAACGATTTCAACATATTTAGGGCCAAACATGAAAAGCCCACACTGAGTTCCATATATATACTAGAGGTCTGGTGCACAAAAATTTGTGCACTCAGGGGGGTCCCTCGGCCCGGCCTGTGCCCTCTTGCAGTTTGGGACCCCTCGGGGGATGTCCACCTGCTGACTTAGGCCTGCTCCCTGGGGGATTGGGCCTAAGCTGGTAATCAGACAGACCTCTGGCAGCCCAGGAGCCCTCAGGGGATGTCCACTTGCCAGCGGGGAGCAGGCCTAAGCTGCAGTCGGACATCCTTAGCACTGCCGAGGAGGTGGGAGAGGCTCCCACCACCACTGCTGTATTGGCAGCCATCAGCCTGGCTTGTGGCTGAGCAGAGCTCCCCCTGTGGGAGAGCACTGACCATCAGGCGGCAGCTCCTGCATTGAGCATCTGCCCCCTGGTGGTCAGTGTATGTCATAGTTACCAGTTATTCCCAGTCGTTCTGCTGTTAGGGTCAATTTGCATATTATCCTTTTATTATATAGGATAGAGGCCTGGTACACGGGCTGGCTGGTTTTCCCTGAAGGGTGTCCCGGATCAGGGTGGGGGTCCCGCTGGGGTGCCTGGTCAGCCTGGGTGAGGGGCTGAGGGCTGTTTGCAGGCTGGCCAAGCCCCCCAGCAGGGACCCTCACCCCATGAGGGTGTGGCCAGCCTGGGTGAGTGGCTGATGGCTGTTTGCAGGCTGGCCAAGGCCCCCAGCCACCCAAACTCCCAATGGAGGCTGGCTGGAAGCAGGTATCTGGGATTTATTTATCTTCTATAATTGAAACGTTGTTGTCTTGAGCGGAGGCTATAGGCGGCCAGGGCAGGCGAGAAGCTTGGCTTCCTCCATCGCAGGGGCAACCACGCCTCCTGCTTGCTCCAGCTCCCTGGCTGCCTGCAGCCATCTTGGTTGGGTTAATTTGCATATAGTCACTTTGATTGGCTGGTGGGTGTATCTTGTGAGTGTAGTGGAGGTATGGTCAATTTGCATGTTTCTCTTTTAATATATATATATACATATATATATATATATATATATATATATATATATATATATATATCTCCAAAATAAATAAAGAACTCTTAGAATTCAACAAAAAACACCCAAACAACCCAATTAAAAATGAGCAAATGGCCTGGCTGGTGTGACTCAGTGGTTGAGTATTGACCTATGAACCAGGAGGTCACGGTTTGATTCCTGGTCAGGGCACATGCCCAGGTTGCAGGCTCAATCCCCAGTGTGGGGTGAACAGGAGGCAGTAAATTCATAATTCTCTCTCATCATTGATGTTTCTCTTTCTCTCTCCTTCTCCCTTCCTCTCTGAAATAAATAAAAAATATATTAAAAATTAAAAAATAATAAAAATGAGCAAAGGGCTTGAATAGACATCTCTCCAAAGAAGGCACACAAAAGACTGATAAGCACATGAAGAGATGCTCAGCATCGTTAACCAGTAGGAAAATGAAAATCAAAACCACAATGAGATGCCACCTCACACCATTTGGGAGAGCTACTATCAGCAAAACAGAGACAGACAATAGCAAGCCTTGGTGAGGACAGGGAGAAATTGAAGCTCTTGTGCACTGCTGGTGGGAATGAGAACAGTTATGATGGTTCCTCAAAAGTTAAAAATAGGATTACCATGGGCTGGCTGGTGTGACTCAGTTGGTCAGAGCATCATCCAGACAGAGCACTGGAAGGACAGGATATATACCTCGGTTACAGATTCCATCCCCACTTGGGGCACATACAGGAGACCACCAATCAGTGTTTCTCACACCAATGTTTCTCTCTCTCTCCCCCCTCCTCACTCTCTAAAATTAATTTTTAAAACATTAAAAAATAGAATTAATATATGACCCAGCAATTTCACTTTTAGGTATATACCCACAGAATGAAAAGATGGGCCACAAAGAGGTATCTGCACACACATGTCCATAGCAGCATATTCACAATAGTTGAAAGGTGGAAATAGCCTGAGTGTCCATACAGATGAGTGGATTAAAAGAATGTGGTCTATACATACAATGGAATATTATTCATGTAGGATGATGTTCTCCTGGTCCATGCTACAGCATGGATGAACCTTGAGAACATTATGCTATGTGAAAAGAGCCCGTCACAAAGGACAAGTGCTGTAGGACCCCATTTAGATGAGGCACTTAGAATAGTCAGATTCACAGAGACAGAAAGTAAACGCTAGTTGCCTGGAGCTGGGGGAGGGGGAACGGTAAGTTATTGTTTATCGGGGACAGAGGTTCAGTTCTGCAAGATGAAAAGAGTTCTGAATGTTGGTTGCACAACAATGTGAATGAACTTAACACCACTGAACTGTACACTTTAAAGGGGTTAGGATGGCAAAATTTACATTATATGTATTTTAGCCCGATTTTGAAGAATGCAGCTTTCAAACACGTATTGTACATGTAATAGAGTTTCAAACATGAAGAATCAGTCATCCCAGGTTTTATTTTTACATGTTTTCTCCGAGCCTGTTTTTCATTGCATGCATATACTTTACAGATCATCATAAGTTATCTACAGGTGAATGCTTTTTCCACTAAACAAGTCATCAAACATTTTCCCTGTGTGTGTGCTTAGTGGTCGGGTGTGAGGGCTAGGTTCTGTGTAGCGGAGCTAGGGATGGGATCTGGCAGGGGAAGCTGGGAGAAGCAGGAGCCAGAGCACCAGGGACCCACGGAGGAAGGCCTAGTGAGCAGCAGGTAGGAATCACAAAGACGTGGCTACTTCTGCCTAGAGCCAGTGTTTATTCAGTCACCAAGTAAAGGGGTGTGATGGAGAAAGCTTGAAGTCCATCTTTGTCCCCCCAAATTGGATGCTGGTTATGGTGAACATTGGTATACAAGAGTCCTCAGGGCACCATGGGGATGGTTACCTCCAAGGCCAGCACTTCATTGTGAATTGGGGATGTCTGTCTCATACAAGGTGCTCCCACCCACGCCCCTGGTACGTGCTCTCAAGGCTGAAGTAGCAACAAAGACAGTGGTGCACACACCAGTGAGTAGAAATGAGCGTCCCAGCACCTGCGCTGCCACCAGAGAGCCAGCCAGGCCACCTGCCCAGAAATGTCCTCCATCACCAGAGAATCTAGATCAGTATCTAGGGAGGGGCTGTGTCTGATTTGAAACCTACTTATCAAAAACTCAGTTCCTTTATAAGAGCTCTTCTCCTCCTCCTAACCAGCTTCCACCAGCAGACTCCCTGGCTGCCAAAGAAACTGTTGAGAAATGTGTGTGTGCGCGTGCGCGTGCGTGTGTATGTGTGTGTGTGTGCACGCGCATGTGTATGTATGTGCGTGCGTGCGTGTATGTATGCATGCGTATGCGTGTGTGCGTGCATGTGTGTGTATGTATGTGTATGCACGTGCATGTGTGTGTGTGTCTTGAATAATTAGGGAATCTTTGGAACTCAAAGTGAGGGAAATAGAAATGGCGTGAGGAAACTTGTGGGCATCGTCGGGTCTAGAAGCTGATAATATGAGAGGTCTGTGCAAGACACTGAGCTGTTGGGGGGGGGGCGGTGGACGGGCAAGTGTGACTCAGTGCCCATGATGTGTGTGCCCTGCGAAGGCCAGTGGGCACACATGGGAAGCAGGTGAGCAAACCTGTGACTGGGATTGGTCTGCAAAGGCCACGCAGAATAAGCATGATCTGTCAAGTCCAGGTTCAAGGAAGCAGCCCCTTGTAAAGATTCAGAATTGCCCGACCTCTGCAAAGTAGAGGAGGGAGAAGGGTAACTGAGCTTCTGGAGAGGAGGAAGGAAGGGAGCATAGTTCAGGGACCTCAAATGCAGACAGTGATGCAGGGTCAGATAGCTAGGGAAGTATTGGTTTGCAGCCATCCATACATAGATATGATTTCATTCAACCAGGTATCTTTCTCCATACCCCAAGCTAAGGGTGGTCAGCTCCCTGCGAGCATGGTCCTCACCATGGGTGAAATGCAAAAACAATTGTAGAAGGCACATTTTAATTTGGACATTTAACAACATTGAAAAATATGATTTACCTAATTCCGCGGATATTGGTTCCATAGATATCATACATGTGCAGAAATGACAGCGGTATGGAAAACATCGACTGGAAACAGCAGACTCCAGGGAACTCGGAGGCCTGAAGGAGTCTGCCGTCTATGGTAGGCTTGGGTTGGGGGCACTGGGGGTTGGGAGCATCGTGAAGGTTCTGAAAGAGAGAGGAAGGCAGAGAATGTGCCCTATGAGACAGCCCCATGCCTGCATTCCTCCCTACGCCTGTGGGCTGTGCTTTCCAATAGCCAGCATGCTAGCTGAGTCATTCTGTAGTTCAGTGAGATGATACCTTTAACAGAACTTTTTTTAACTTACTGTATCCCCTTCCTGTAAATCCTAATCTCTGATGACAGAAAGTGGATGAGTGGTTGCCAATCCATTAAGTTTATGCCTGTACTTGAACTTTACATATGTGGAAACATTTTCGTGTCCTCCACCCCCCAGAGAATCTAGATCAGTATCTGAAGAGGGGCTGTGTTAGCTTTACATTTTCATGTTAGCTTCTTTCCTTCAACATAATTATCGTGAGATTCATTCTCACTGTTGCATGAATTAGTAATTCATTCTTCAGGATTGCTAAGTATGAATAGGCCACAACGTGTTTATCCATTCATCTGTTGATGGATATTTGAATTGTTACCAGTTTTTAGCTATTGTGAATAAATTGCTGTAAACATTCTTGTACAAGCCTTTTGGTGGAAACATGTTTTCACTTTTAAAAAAATATGTTTTTATTGATTTCAGAGAGAGGAAGGGAGAGAGGAATAGAAACATCAATGATGAGAATCACTGATGGGCTGCTTCTTGCATGCTCCCTCCTGGGGACCAAGCCCAAAACCCGGGTATGTGCCCTGACCGGGAATCGAACCATGATCTCCCGGTTCATGGGTCAACGCTCAACTACTGAACCACACTGGCCGGGCTGTTTTCATTTCTTTAAGACAAATACCTAGGAGTAGAATTACTGAGTTACATATAGGTGTATGTTTTACTTTATCAGAAACTTTTCATTTTACCACTTCACACTGGCAGCAGCAAAGCATGAGAACCACAGTTGCTCCAGCTTCTCACCACTAGTGTGGCCAGACTTTCCAGGGTCAGCCATACACATGGGTGTGAAAGGATAGACCCAGTTTACACTTCCTTGGTGCTAAGCATCTTTTCATGAGCTTATTGTCCGTGCACAGGTCTTCCCTCCTGAGGTATCTCTTCAACGTTTCGGCTCTTTTTTTTGAGTTGTTAGTCTTTTTATTATTATTAATTTGAAGGAGTTCTTTATATATGACAGATCTCCTTTGTCAAATATACATATAGGAAATATTTTCTCCCAGTCTGTCACTTGCATTTTATTTTCTCAATGGTCTTGTAAAGAGGTCTTTAATAGTTATAGAGTTCAATTTATTATTTTTCTCTCCTTTATGGTTAACACTTTCCATGCCCTTTCTAAAGACTGTTTGCCTATACCAAGATTATGAAAATATTTTCCTATTTTTTTCTTCTAGAAGCTTTAGAGTTCTATATTTTAGGTCTAGATCTATTCTTCTGCTCAAATAAATTTTTATGTGGTGTGAAGTAGTGACCAAGTCCCTCCCCCCATCTCCTCCCCACCATTTCTCCCCCCCCCCCCCCCCCCATCACACACACACATTTATTCGGTTGTTCCAGCACCATTTTCTCCATTAAATTGTTCTGGCACATTTGTCAAAAATCAGTTGACTACCTAAGCCTCACTGGTCTGTCCCATTGATTTGTCTATCATTATGCCAATATTTCAGTCTCTTTTTTTTCAATATTTCAGTCTTAATTAATGTTGCTTTATAGAAAGTTTTTAGTTCAGATAGTGTAAGTCCTCCAATGTTCTTGTTCTTAAGAACTTGGCCACGCTAAGTCCTATGCTTAGAAACAACTTGTCAAACTGTACAATGAAGTCTATGAGAATTTGATTGATATTGAGTTGAATTTATAGTTTTAACATGGAGAGAGCAGTCATCTTATCAGTTGTGAGTCTTTCATAAGCATGATATATCTTTCCATTAATTGGGATGATATTTAATTTCTTTTACCAATATGTTACTATTTGCAGTCTTATGTGTGTTTTGTTAAATCTAATCTAATCTAAAGTATTTAATGATTTTTTGGATGGAATTTAATGTAGAAATAAAATGGAATATTTATAATAAATTAAATTTATAAATTTATAAATAAAAATTATAAGTAAATACATTTTATAAGATTTATTTAAAAATAAAAGTTAAGCCCTAGCTGGTTTAGCTCAGTGGATAGAGCATCGGCCTATGGACTGAAGGGTCCTGAGTTCAATTCCAGTCAAGGGCACATGCCAGGGTTGCATGCTTGATCCCCAGTAGGGGGTATGCAGGAAGCAGCTGATCAATGATTCTCTCTCATCATTGATGTTTCTATCTCTTTCTCCCTCTCCCTTCCTCTCTGAAATCATAAAAATATATTTAAAAAAAAAACACAGAAAAAAAATAAAATAAAATAAAAGTTAAATATAAAAGAAATCCACAAATGGTAGCTTAAACCAATGAGGGGCTTATAATTTCACGAAACAAAGACTCTAAATGCCAGAAGTCTAGGACTGCTGTTCAAGGCTATCTCTTGTTTCATTCAGTCCTCATGGTCACAAGGTCGCTGCTCAACCTCTGGCAGCACGTCCACAGAGCAAGTGGAACAAGAGGGAATGCAAAGACAAAGGCCATGCCAGCAACCCACCCATTTTTAGAGAAGAACCACGGCTTTCCCTGAAGCCCACGCTGTGGCCAGAACTTCCTGCTTCTGCCCCCAGAGCAGCAACACTCATGAAGATCATGTGTTCCCTTCAGGGGCTACTCTGAACTCCTGGGGAAGGAGAGACCCATACTGGGTGGCCCATGGCAGAGTCTGGCCAACAAATACCACTTCCCACTTCACTTTCATCGGGTGAGTGTTTTGTATCAGGCGCTGGGCCAGGTACTAAAGACAGAATGATGAGAATAAGAGCTCCTGTCCATTGCTCCCCTACCATGGGCGAAATACTACTCAACATCCACTCACCTAAAATTGTGTATCATCTCCTTTTATTGACATAACTAGAGGCCCGGTGCACGAATTCATGCACAGGTGGGGCCCGGTTGGCCTGCCCTGATTGGGGCCTTCCAGGGGGAGGGGATGCAGGAGGTTGGCTGCAGGCCCTGCCCCTGATCGGGCTGTTGACCGGGCACAGTGTGTGTCACAGTGACTGGTCGTTCTGGTCATTCTGGTCATTCTGGTCATTCTGGTCGTTCTTGTCACTTGGCTTTTATATATATATACTAGAGGCCTGGTGCACGAAATTCGTGCACTGGGGGGTGGGGTTCCTTCAGCCTAGCCTGCCCCTCTCACAGTCCGGGGAGCCCTCAGTGGATGTCCTACTGATGGCCACAGTCTGGCAGCAGAGGCACGGAGCAGGCGTCCCCTGTGTGTGTGTGTGTGTGTGTGTGTGTGTGTGTGTGTGTGTCTGCTGGGGGCCTGCCCCCAGCCACACCATGGAGGTTGGAGCAGGAGCCCCTCTGTGTTGATCTCTCAGGCTCCTGGCCTCCACTGCATGTTGTACTCTCCCTTGAGCTATGGCCAGGATGGGGGTGTTGCTTGCAAGCCGGGCTTTCCTGCTCCCGGATCACCATGGCAACTGGGGAGCAGGCAAAGTTTGGGGCTGCCCCCAGGCTGGGCTTGCCTTCCTGTTCCCGGATCAGGCGCAGCTAGGGGCTGCCTACAGGCTGCACTTTTCTACTTACCGATGGCAGGATCACCACAGCGACCCAGGGCCCAGCAGCACTTTCCTGCTCTCCAATAGTCATAGGGTCCCAGCTGGGGGCGAGGCTTAGCAGTGTGGGGCTCAGGCGGCATGGGGGTCCCGGCTGGGGGCTCAGGTGGCACACAGGGGTCCTGGATGGGGGCGGGGCTTATATGTCCTGCTGCCCAGGGCTGCACATGGGGCCCAGATGGCAGCTCACACTGTCCTGCCCTGCCTGTAGTATAGGATAGAGGCCTGGTGCACGGGTGGGGGCCAGCTGGTTTGCCCTGAAGGGTGTCCCGGATCAGGGTGGGGGTCCCGCTTGGGTGCCTGGCCAGCCTGGATGACGGGCTGATGGCTGTTTGCAGCTGGTCACACCCCCTTCAGGGTGGGGGTCCCCACTGGGGTGCCTGGCCAGTCTGGGTGAGGGCCTGAGAGCCATTTTCAGGCTGGAGGGCAACTTAGGCTCCCAGCCTCTCCTTTTTTTCTTTTTTTTTCTTTTTTTATTCTGGGATTTATTTACCTTCTATAGCTGTCACTGGAGCTGAGAGCTGGCTCCAGCTCTGAGGGCTGAAAGCAGGTTTCTGGGTCTGTTTGGCTTCTATAATTGAAATTCTGTTGCCATCACAGCAGCTCTAAGCTCTGAGGCTGAAGCTGGCTGAAAGCAGGTCTCTGGAGCTTGTTTAGCTTCTATAATTGCAACATAGTTGCTTAGAGTGCAGCTCAGAGCCCAGCAGCGGCAGGCAGGGAACATTGGCTTCCTCCGTCACTGGAGCAAGCAAGCCTCCTGTTCACTTCAGCTGCGTGGCTGCCGGCTGCCATCTTGGTTGGCAGTTAATTTGCATATCCTGCTGATTAGCCAATGGGAAAGGTGTCGGGGTTATGGTCAATTTGCATGTTTCTCTTTTATTAGATAGGATAAAGGATAATACTTTATCCTTTTAACAACAAGGACAAAAACAGTCCAAATCAATCTGCCTCCAAAACTGTATCTATAATAATAAAAGCATAATATGCTAATTAGACTGGACAGCCAAACGACCTTCCAGACAACCTTCTCAATGAAGCTGGGGATGCGAGGGCCAAGCCCCTTGCACGAATTTCATGCATTGGGCCTCTAGTTTTCATGTAAAACACTGTCTCCAACACGAATACCTTTGGAGGTGTCCTAAGTGTACAGAGTGAATGGATAGTTACTATAACATGATAAACACTATTGTAGAACCAGGAAGTAGTTGAGGGCAGGAGGATTCCCACACATAGTACAGGGGATTCCATAGGAAGACACGGAGAGGACACAAAGTCTTAGAGAATGAGTAGAGAGCAGAGGATGAGCAGTTGGCACCGGGGGGAGGGGCGCTGAAGAAGACATGCTGATTCCCACAGATGTGATGCCACACAGATGTTCTGAGGGAGACCCTGATTCCACACAGATGTGCTTGGGAAGAGCCTGATTCCACACAGATGTGCTGAGAGAGACCCTGATTATACACAGATGTGCTGAGGGAGAGCCTGATTCCACACAGATGTGCTGATGAAGAGCCTGATTCCACACAGATGTGCTGAGGGAGAGCTTAATTCCAGACAGATGTGCTGAGGGAGACTCTGATTCCACACGGATGTGCTGAGGGAGAGCCTGATTCCACACAGATGTGCTGAGGGAGAGCTTAATTCCAGACAGATGTGCTAAGGGAGACTCTGATTCCACACAGATGTGCTGGGGAAGAGCCTGATTCCACACAGATGTGCTGAAGGAGACCCTGATTCCACACAGATGTGCTGAGTGGGATCCTGATTCCACATAGAGTTCTGAGGGAGACCCTGATTCCACACAGATGTGCTTGGGAAGAGCCTGATTCCACACAGATGTGCTGAGGGAGACCCTGATTCCACACGGATGTGCTGAGGGAGACCCTGATTCCACACAGATGTGCTGAGGGAGACTCTGATTCCACACAGATGTGCTTGGGAAGAGCCTGATTCCACACAGATGTGTTGAGAGAGAGCCTGATTCCACACAAATGTGCTGAGGAAGAGCCTGATTCCACACAGATGTGCTGGGGAAGAGCCTGATTCCACACAGATGTGCTGAGGAAGAGCCTGATTCCACACAGATGTGCTGAGTGGGACCCTAATCTCACACAGATGTGCTGAGGGAGAGCCTGATTCCACACGGATGTGCTGAGTGAGACCCTGATTCTACACAGATGTGCTGAGGGAGAGCCTGATTCCACACAGATGTGCTGAGGGAGACCCTGATTCCACACAGATGTGCTGGGGAAGACCCTGATTCCACACAGATGTGCTGAGGGAGAGCCTGATTCCACACAGATGTTCTGAGGGAGAGCCTGATTCCACACACATGTGCTGAGTGGGACCCTTATTCCAGACAGATGTGCTGAGGGAGAGCCTGATCCCACACAGATGTGCTGAGGGAGACCCTGATTCCACACAGATGTGCTGAGGGAGACCCTGAATCCACATAGATGTGCTGGGGAAGGGCCTGATTCCACACAGATGTGCTGGGGAAGAGCCTAATTCCAGACAGATGTGCTGAGTGGGACCCTGATTCCAGACAGATGTGCTGAGGGAGAGCCTGATACCACACAGATGTGCTGGGGAAGACCCTGATTCCACACAGATGTGCTGGGGAAGAGCCTAATTCCACACAGATGTGCTGAGTGGGACCCTGATTCCAGACAGATGTGCTGGGGAAGAGCCTAATTCCACACAGATGTGCTGAGTGGGACCCTGATTCCAGACAGATGTGCTGAGGGAGAGCCTGATCCCACACAGATGTGCTGGGGAAGACCCTGATTCCACACAGATGTGCTGGGGAAGAGCCTAATTCCACACAGATGTGCTGAGTGGGACCCTGATTCCAGACAGATGTGCTGAGGGAGAGCCTGATCCCACACAGATGTGCTGGGGAAGAGCCTGACTCCACACAGATGTTCTGAGGGAGAGCCTGATTCCACACAGATGTGCTGGGGAAGAGCCTGATCCTACACAGACAGGGCAGTGGGTATACACACATGAAGACAGAAGACACTCTTTGCCCCCAAGTAGCGGAAGTTCCTGGTGACTGGGGTGACAATAAATGCGGGCAGGCAGCAGGAACCACTCCTGAGGCATGCAGCCATTAGCAGGCTTGTTCCAGGCAGGACATAAATGAGAAAGCGAGGCTTGGACAGGAGGACGGATGTGACAGGCTGATCCAGGTCAGCTGGCAGGTCTCGTGTGTGTGTGTGTGTGTGTGTGTGCGCGCGCGCGCGCGCACGTGGGGGGGAGTGGGGGGAGAACGGGTGTCAAAACTTGAACATACTTCCCTGTCCTCTGATGAGGAAGAACAGTGGCCTGTCTCAGTAACCGCAGGGGAAGTAATTTTATTTGAAAGAGAAGCTAATGAAATCCAGGTTTTACACTTCGAGTTTGGACGCCCTAGGGCAGGGGTCCTCAAACTTTTTAAACAGGGGGCCAGTTCACTGTCCCTCAGACCGTTGGAGGGCTGGACTATAATTTAAAAAAAAACTATGAACAAATTCCTATGCACACTGCACATATCTTACTTTGAAGTAAAAAAACAAAACAGGAACAAATACAATATTTGTATTTGCATGTGGCCCGCGGGCCGTAGTTTGAGGACCCCTGCCCTAGGGTGTGAGGGGCTCAGGAAAATTCTGTGTGTGTGTGTGTGGTGTGTGTGTGGTATGTGTGTGTGTATGTGTGTGTGTGTGGTGCGCACGCACGTGTGTGTTATGTGTGTGTATGTGTGTGTATATGTGTGTGTATGTGTGTGTGTGTGTGGTGTGTGTGTGGTGTGTGTATGTGTGTATGTGTGTGTGTGTGGTATGTGTGTGTGGTGTGTGTATGTGTGTGTGTGTGTGGTGTGTGTGTGTGTGTATGTGTGTGTGGTGTGTGTATGTGTGTATGTGTATGTATGTGTGTGTGTGTGTGTGTGTGCGTGTGTGTGTGTGGAGTCCACCCCCTCACATTCCCAGTCATCACGTGTGCACTCCTGCCGGACCCCCCCTCTCCCACAGTGCCACGCCTGCCAGGTCTGTGTGTACGAGCACCTTACACCTTCTTGCCCTGCAGCTCCCTCACACCATTCATTCTGCGCCGGTTCCATGGTGACCTAGGTGG